TATTTTTATTTCTATTACTGTATGTCCCATGTTGCTTTTCCTTGACAGAAAAGCAGTCCCAGAAAATAGGGAAACATACCAGCAAGGGGTCTAGAAATGGCTTAAAGGAAGAGGACAAAATACACATTGTGAAGAAGGAAAATTTAGTTGAGGGTATATGTGCAGAATTCTTATATGGAGGGGCAATGCTCTCTTCTTGCGTCCTTCCTTTAAGGAATTATGTAGTAAGTTTTGAACACCCGAGGGGGCTTTTCAGTTCTCTCACCCACAGATGCTTCCATGTTGCAGCTGAGGAGCATGCACTTTAGGGCACGGATGTGGATGGAGGAAAGAATGGGAGGGGAAAGGGACATAGAAATGGTACAGATGATACCTGTAACAAAGTGTTGCAGTGGATGATGGAATATAAAGAATATTTACTAATTTTCATATCCATAAACCTCCCAAAGAGTGCCTTAAGATATGCTGCCTAGAAAATGGAAAACAGCTGTGCAGTTCTTTGAACTTGAGGACTCTTTGTTGGGAAATCTGTTCAAAATAGCATATGCTTTCCTGCACAGAAAATACAACTATATAAAGAATATATAATTCCTTATAGAAAAATATTGCTCTATATGTTTTCTGTATAAACACATATTCTTGAAAAGAGGCCCAAAGTGTGAGTAGTGGTCAAAAATTGGATGGAAACCTTATTCTGTGCAATGGGGAGAAAATGGCTGAAATTATTAAATTCTTTAATAAAATAAGTGAAGATTCACACCCCTATGTGTGGAGTGTTGCCATTTAGATTTTAGTTCATTCATAACACTTTTTTCCTTCATCCACACCCGACCCAAAAGTCAGTCAGCTTTATGTGGATGATGGGCACATCCAGTTGGTCCTCAGTATCCATGAGGGATCCATTCTGGACCCCCTCCCCATGGATACCAAAATCCATGGATACTCAAGTCCCATTGTCTATAATGGCAGCATGGCCACATTGCCACACTGCCATTAAGAACAAATGCACTGAAGTCCTCTTCCCTCCCCCCTCTTTCCCTCCCTCCCCCTCTGAGGCTTCTGACCCAGGCTTTGCTTCGGGGGTGGTTTGGAGGAGGAGCCTGAAGCCTCATTGGTCAGAGGGAGTCAGAGCTGGGACTGGGACCGGGACCTGGGTCTTGGAGTCTTCTTCTCAAGCCCAACACATGGAATGGAACCTCCAGGCTCTGAGACCTAAGCCCGGCCCCAGCCCTGGCTACCTCTGGCTGATGAGGCGCAGCCTTTGCCTCCAAACCACCCCCAAAACCAAGCTTGGGGAAGAAGCCTTGGAGAGGAAGGAAGGAAGGAAGGAAGGAAGGAAGGAAGGAAGGAAGACTTCAGCCCAGTTGTCCCCAATGGTGGTGCAGCTGCATGTATGCACTGCCATTGGGGACAATGCGGGCTTGCCATCCACAGATGCTCAAATCCATGGATGATAAGTCTGTGGATACTGAGGGCCCACTGTACTCCCTATTTGGGACATTTGCCAAATATATATTTTATTACTGATACATTTTCTCCATAGCTTTCTCCTTTGTATATGGCTGGTGTTACATAAGTAACATCACTTACAGAAATATGATGACATATCACCCAGTTTCTCAAGATTGTAGTGACAAGAGATTCCAGAAATCAGCTCCCACTGTTATTTATCCTTCACTAAAAGAATATAGTAACCTGCCTTATACTGAGCCAGACTATCCCAATCATCTATCCCAGTATTATCCACCTTGATGGGTAGTGGCTTTCCAGGATTTAAAGCAAGATTAAGGCTCTGGTGCCTCAGGAAACTACACTTCCCAGAATTTCATAGCATGGAGCCATAACAGTTAAAGTGGGGTCACACCTGATTATTTATGTAGTACAGATGCAGCCATGGCCTTGTTAGGATTTTAATGGGATATAGAGTCAATGATTTTAAAATGTT